AGCACAGGGCCTGGTCTAAGGAGACCTCATGAGATGTGTGTTGAAGGAACTCAAATGAACCCCCAGTGCCACTTTCTGTCCGATGTGACCAGTGACCATCCTCCACCTCACTCAGGAGACCCCAGCGACTCTCCCCTGCCCTGCTGAGCCAGGCTATTGGAGAAAGGATGACGCAGGAAGTCCACGTGACTATGGGAGCCAGGCTCGGGAAACACAGCCTAGACTGGGTGAGCAAGGGCAAGTGATCCCGGAGGAGAGACCAATGAGCCAGACGCGGATTCCTCTCCGGAGGTCTCCAGGGGAGCAGCCTGGCTTCCCCACCGACCTCCATGCAGGCCCTCCCATCTCTGAGTTCATCTGTCCATCTGTGCAATGCTCTCATCCTTGTCCCAACGTTTGCCATCAGCCCTGAGCCCCGCACACGGAGTGGACATCATATCCCAGTCCGTGGGCAGAGCTGCCCCAACATGTAAAACAGGACAGTGAAGAAAACTGACATCCAGAAACACCCCAAATTCGGGCACTGCACCCTGGCCTCTGGTCTCCAGTGCATGGTACATTCTAGGGGTGCAGGGGCTACTTACCCTCCCACCTTGTAGTCACCAACGCCACCCATCCAGGCCCGGATGAATGTCGGGTCGGCCAGGAGGGAGACAGGGGTCACCGAGTCTCCAGGAAAGTAGGAGCCCACAGGACAGAGGATGACAAACAGGAGGGCTTGACTGGCGCTGTTGACACCCAGCGAGTCCTGGGAGGGCAGAGGGGCAGCCTCAGGGGCAGGAGTCGTTCAGCCTCCTCTCTCAGACCAGGAGTCCAGGCCCAGCCCCTTTCCCTCCCCTAGCCCAGGGGTCCCCAGGAGTCCCCAGCACTGAGGGGGGCTCACCTCGGTACCTATGAGCACGGGCCGCACGTAGAGGCTGGTGCCGGTGCCCCCGGGAACCCAGGCCTTATCCACCTCGATGAGCCGACGGATGCACTCCAGCAGTTCCACCTTGTCAAAACTCTGGGCAGGCCCCACACGGGTCAGGAGGCCCGCAACTCTGGCCCTCCCCGTCCCCCCACAGGCAGGCCAGGCTGCTCACCGGCAGGCAGAGGCGCAGGGCTGTGCGCAGCATGCGGTCCATGTTGAGCCAGGGCCGGAAGAGGCGCACCTGCTGGTCCTGGCCTCTATACGCCTTCAAGCCCTCAAAGAGCTGTGGGGACAGGTGTGTGGAGGCTCAGAGCCCCTGGGGCATCACAGACAGAGGGACAGCAAGAGACTGAGAGACCAAGACACAAACACAGAGATGGAGTCAGAGATGGGGAGAGGCAGACAGACAGAGAGGCAGACAGACAGAGGTAGACTTAAGGTGGCAGTGGACTTCTGTGGATACTGCGGACCACAGGGAGCCAGAGACAACCGCCACAGGAGCCCCTCCAACTACTGCTCTATTTTTCAGGCATGATAAACCTGTGAAAGTTTGGAAAGAGGCCTGGTATTTTAGAGAAATACTGAAACATTTATGGATGAATAACCCACTGTCTGGGATTTGCTTCTCATCACAAAGTGGAAGACAGTGGAAGTCAGTCCAGCGGAGACAAGGTTCTGGGCCAACAGGAGCTAACAGATGAAGCATGTGCCTCCTGTTACCTACTTCTGTGTTTCGAATGTCGCATAAAAACTTTTTTTTAACTTAAAAAAAGTTGATCCCCACCCCCACCATGCTGCTCTCAGGAGAAAGCTCCCGTCCCCACCGTGGCCTCTGAGTCCTGGACCTGGCCTCTTCCTGCAGGCTCCTAGAATAACTCCTGCCCACTCTCCCCACAGGTGGCCACCTTGGCCTTCTCCTGCTCCCAGGGTCTGCAGTGGCTTGGTCCTCCCTCCCTTCACCCATGTCCTCCAGCTCATGTCATGGGGTTCAGCCCTAGGCACCTCCGAGGGCTGGGGTGGCTCAGCGTGGAGTGCTCGCCTACGGGTACAAGGCCGGGGTTCCATCCCCAGCACCAGTAAAAACAAAAACAGACGGCAAAACACAGCCAGGAAAAAGCAAGTATCATACCCTTCATGGTGTAGCCTCGCCCCCACGCACATCAGGGGCCTGGCCACTGCCCCTGGCTCCGTAGGGTGCCTGTTCAGTGTCCACCTAGGCTGAGAGAGCCCTAGGGCACCGGACATGTTCATCAGAGACCCCACAGCCCCTGGCATCCAGGACCCCACTTGGCACAGCATGGGTTTTGTGGATTTAATTAATATGAATATGAAATGAATGAAGTAAAAATAGGCAGGATATTTTGGGGGGAAATACAACTAATAAGGGTCAAGAGGGGTGGGGATGGGGGGGAACAGTGGCCCGCGCCTGGAACCCCAGGCTCAGATAGGAAGATACAACGTTTGAGGCCAGACTTGGCAACTTAGTGAGAACCTATCTCAAAATAAAAAGTAACAAGAGCTGGGTTGTGGCTCAGTGGTAGAGCACCCCCAGGGTTCAATCCCCAGCACTGTAAGAAAAAACAGAGCTGTGGCTGGGAGCAGTGGTGTATGAGGGGGCTGACTCACAGTGGGACAGACGACCAAACACCCACAGAGGAACAAATGAAATTGAACCCCTGCCTCACACCAGACAAAATTCCAGAGAGTGCAATTTTGAATGAAAAAAAATGCATATTAAACCATAAAAGCTATAGAAGAAAACACAAGCTAACTGCTTTCTACCTTAAATTGGGGACGGTCTTTCTAAATTCGACAAATCACAAAGCCAAAAAATAAAAGAGTGATTATATTTGATTCCATTAAAAAAAAAAACACCTGGAATTTGGGGTATAGCTCAATGGTAGACTGCATGGTTAGCATGTGCAAGACTCTGAGTTCAATCCCCAGTACTGCAAAAATAAATAAATAACAGAATCTTTAAAACCACTTGGGAGACGGGAAAAGATCTAAAAGTTGGACAAGG